GTATACAAAAAAACGTAACCGATGGAACCGGTATCTGATAGTGGGGGGGAGAGTTCCTACAATTTCGTTCACGTATTGTTTTACAGATGGTAAAAACGTCGCTCAATTGTGCGCTCGGTGTTCATTTGGAGTTTCAAGTGTGGAAAAAGTTAATTATACAACATGAAAAACGGTTAACGGTTGAAACACAACTTTTTTTCATTGGACCACTCGCAGGTTTGTTTCCAATCCAAATTTTTCGTCCGACGACCAGTCTGTTGACATTTTATATTTCGGACCATCTGCGCGCGCGTGGATAGCAGCCGTATCAATCATTGAGGAACACTTGATTTCTGGAAAAATCACGTGTCTCATCCGTCTGAAATCCAAAACACAAGTTTGCGTCCAAACGGCAAATACGTAAAACGTAGACGAAGTTTTGATTAAACATGTGTACTCACAAATTTTCAATAGGGCGGTGGTCCCGTGCGGTGGAGCTTGAACACATTTACGTTGGTGGACAAAAGGGTTAGGGGGAGAATAAATGAACAGGAAACGAACACTCGAGAATTACATCTGCGCGCGCGGGTCAGTTGGTCTTGCACTGCACACGTCTTATTAAACGCACAATAATAGTAAATATTAGGTAATATCGTGGTAATATCCGCCGGATCCCTGCACCGTGGTTTTTCGTACTCGTGTTTTCGATCGCGAGATGAACGGCGATACGATTGATGAAATACGTAGCTGTTGTGACCACACTACGTTTAATTGTTCGATAAAAAAATAATAGGCACTTTGTACTATTTGAAACGGACGTGCGGCCGAATTGGGATAAACAATAACTGCAATCGGCTGACCTCGGTCATTGTGGTATAGTATATTTATTAAAAGCGCATACCGATTGTGTACTAAAACGGAAGTCGAGGAACTACGTCGCGTCCAATACTTATTGTAAGCAAAAGGTATCTAAACAAAATCCTCGGTGGAATTTGGTTAACGATTAAATTTTACCACGTAAAAAAACAATATTTTTTTTCGTTAATTTCTATTTTTAAATAATTTTCAAGATAATACATACTACGACGGGTATTATTGGATACTGAGTAAAATAAGAAAATTTTTCGACGTTTTTAATTCATCAACTCGTACAAAATTCCTTGAGGGATCAAGTCTTAAGTAAAAAAATAAAAATAAAAATACACATGTTGACACGAGATATACAAATACATTATTATTTACTGATTGAAAAAATGAAATGTGATAAATATTATATTACATGATACAAATTTTTTTTTTTTTTTTAATGGATTGTACTGAGTTGATACAATTTAGAATGCATGCTTTGATTTGTAACTGTGTGGTGTTATTTAAAAATCATTTTCAATGTTTTTGTTATTTTTTTATGGAACGCTCTTAGTGTATGAAATTCTAATGAGTTGCACATTTTAATTCAACTAATAATTAAAACGTTTACAAAAATTGCGTCATTTTATTAATAGTGTACTTACTTCAATTATTATTTGATAAAATTGTGTGAACCAGATGGAGTAAAATATAAAAAATATCATACTGAATTAGTAATAGTTGTTAAACAATTTATCAGCAACTGGTTTGAATTTTTGTCGTAATCATTTTCGGAAAAAATATTATTTTTTTTTGCTTTCTGAATAAAAAATCAAAAGTAAACGTTGCAATTTAAAGAAACAAAAATTAATGCGATAAACAGCAGTGTTTCGCTTACGTTCAAGCTGTGACTGCACGAATATTACAGAAAATATTTTTTCCAATAGAAACCTTATGCCAACTGAAATAACTAGCATCGTGTTTGAAAAATCACAGCGTAATAAATACAAAAAGTAAAATCTTGATTAAAAGTAGCCCGTTGTGGCTCTTGCTTAAAATATTGTAATCCCGTCACGATTGTGTCGTTTATACTTCACTCATTCCACATGCGTCACCTAAACAATTCGCCGCACAATAAAAACGATGATAACTATTCATAAGTACTCCCCTTGGTACGTTATTTTACTTCGTTATGAAATACTGTACGGATGGTCGGCTCCAAAATCCTGCAGTCGTATAGAGAACGTCACTGGTGGTATCAACAGGTCATAAGAGGCCGACGAAAAAGGACGAAATGAAGGGAAAAAAACATTGGTGGCTTTTTAGCCTACGCACCGGAATTCGCTCGCGACGAATTTCCGGTTATCGGCTATACATCTACTTATAATTTATATATACATAACATCGATAACAATAATGGCTGGCACTGGGCACAATGCAAGCCGCACATAATATACGATGGACGGACGGGACCCCTGGTCGTTCTTCTCGTTCACTTCCGGTACGCCAATTAATAACATTATACTGTAGCTCCGGTCGTCCGAGCAGTAATAATAATAATGATAATTAATAACGCGAAAGGACGTTTAACAAGGAAAGCGCGCGCGTTATAGACGGTTAAGATATGTGCTGCGCGAGGATGACCAGCCGTCCCTCCGACCCTGCCGTGGGTGACCCTTTCATCCCCGTACGTGCGCTTATACGCATAACGGCACCGGTCATACCACCGATATATTATATCACACGCAATACGGTCCGCTAGGGAACTTAGTCGTCGTCACGCACACGTTACAATATTATCATTATTATATCCGTAAGACCATGCACGTACATATGTTTATTCGTTCGCCGTGCCAAATACTTTGCAGGTCTCGCTACTGAATAATAAATTACGCGTACCGGACACGAGACCGCGCGCGCGTCCGGAATATTATTTGTTACGTAATATTATGATTATAAGTTATATCGTCGATGGTTCGAAAATGTTACACATGGATCATATCCCACCCCTCACCTGGAATTTTCTAGAAACAAATATTACAACTCATCGGTGCTTGGAAAAAAAACAAAGATAAAAAGATAAATTGTATCCATTTAGAATAATCGACTCGCAAAAAAAACAGAAATTTACTTAAAACTCCTAGTGGGGTTTGGTACAAGAGTGTAGATGATTTCAGTAAAAACCATTTTATGATGACGGTAAAACCATGTGATTTTGTCCCATACACTCGTGTTATCAACTAACGGTATTAATTTTTTGCTTACACGAAACTATTTTTGTAACCATTTCTATAGACGACGAAAAAAAAATATTGTTTTGTCAAATTATCAAGCTATTCAAACGGTTTTTACTTTGTATTTTTAAACTTATAGATCAACCACAATCGGACTCCTGGAAATATACATAAAATTATAATCAATACTCAAAAAACCTAAAATTAAAAAACTAAAAAGAAATATCTGCTAAGATTAACCTTAGTATAATTAGCCTTACAAAATATTTTCATACAGAACCGGTTACCTTTAGTACCTTCATTTGCACCACAGCAGGTCTATAATCATCCCTGTTTTACTTTCTTAGACTTAGTAAAACCACCCTTTTACACTAGAAAGTGAAAAACGTTGTGTGGTAAGTATATTTTTCTACGATATGTATAAATTAACTATGCATGTCATACAAAAGTCGAATCACTCATTTATGGTCTAATTTTTATGATAATCAAAACATTTTAAGAATTAGTTATAATTTTATATGAACTTTACGATATACAATGTTATAGACGATACACACTCATGTTTTATACTTCAATATATTTTTTTTAAACACATATATTTTTATGGAAAATAAGAAAATATGCATAATGTTAGTTAATTTTATAATCATTAATTTATAAGTATATTAAATATAATATAAATTGTAATAAATAAATAAATTATATATTTATAATCAATAAAACTAAAATGGAAGGAATGTATTGGTATTCAACATATTGATGTTTATAAATATTGGTGTTTAATTGTACATAGCTCAAAAAATAATAATTGTAGAGGCATGAACTTCTCATTAAATCCTTCATCACCATTTTCTATAGATAGTATTTAAAAGATTTATTTTATTTTTTAAATAACAGCTGGTTAGAGAAAATTTTAATTTTAAGGTTTTTTCTTTTATTTTTGTGATAAAAAAATTTTTGGTTTGACAAAAGTTAGGAAATTCCCTTATACGTATCTATTACTAATTATTAAAGACAATTACGATCGTATGGTATATTTTAACTAAATTTTAAAAATCATGAAAATCCACTATATCTTTACATTACAAACTCTTAACATTTTCAATTTTATACTTAATTTTAAAAAATTAGACACAAGATTTTTGTGTAAAACGACGAAGCTCCATAAACGAGACTGACGAACTACTTCATTCACAAGTTGCAATGAACATTAATACTTTTAACCGGTTCCATTTACAGTTACATTCAATAAATTACATATATTAATAATATTTGATTGTGTCTATAAATTATATTATACCCTTTATGAGTCGTTAAATAAAAAATAATAATAATAGTCGTTAGTTAAATTACATTACGCCGAATTCTAATCTCTTTGGATCTCGTAAATAAAATAAAAACATTGTTGCTAATAATCGAGAATTTTATATGTTAATAAAAAATAATTTGAAAAAAAAAATCAACAAACATTGAAAAATATCAAATATATATCAATAGCAATTTTTCAGTTATGTTAATTATTAATATTTTACTTATTACTTCAATATTTCAAAAAGTATTTCGATATAAAATTATTTATAATATGAATAAAAATACTAGTAATAATAAAATATTTTGTATAAATTTCCTTATTTTTTTCATATATAATAATCGTACATAATAAAATAAATGTAATAATGTAAAACTGTATTATTTCACGCGTACAAGTAAGGGCAAATATTAAAGATTCGAACGCAATGCACGCATATGTAATCCGAAGAACACATTTAATAAGTTAAGTGATTTAACACTGACAAAGTTACACTTTTATATTTTATTCTTTAAAAATATAAATACTATTATAATTGATTTGAATATGAATATTATATACAACTCACTACTTAAGATTTAGTACTTATGATTAGAAAATTATATGGTATATGAATTTCAAACTTCTCTTACTTAAAAGCAAAAACGGACATTTTTTTTATTTTGAGAAAAATCAGTTGCCGGTTTATGGAAATATCATCTGGTTGACGAGCAGTATCGGAACAGTAAACAGGAACCCTGTCAAATCATAATATTTTTAATTAAAAAAAGGTCTATCAGAAAATCCCGAAAAAACTTTAATCAAATAACTTGTTTAACCCCTATTCTAATTAAAAAAACAAACAAAATGTACCTAAAAAATAATACAAGAGGATCAATTTTAATTTATATAAGCATTCCACACCTAGGTATAAAATAATAGTAATTATCATTCGTAGATATTTTAAGTATTTGAAAAGTGGTTTTTATTCAATGGCAAACAACGAGATTACGAAAATTGTATCTGGATTCGTATGAATAGTGATGTTTATATTTTATTATTTATATTGTTTCACATAATAAGAATTCTCGAAAATCCAATGATTTTGTTTTTTCAAACAGCCCTGTTTTCGATTAGTATTTAAAACATATATTTTTTCATATATCCACGGAAACTTCGCCAATTTTCAATGCACGTGTAATCGTAGGATAACACGTACGATTTGGAAACAAATGCATTTCAGGGAAAAACGACAAGACCATGAAATTCCGTTGTTTTTCAAATTTTCGTAATATTACGTCTACTTATTGCAGATAACGTAAGATACAAAAGCTTAAATTTTTTCTTGTTATTTTCTCACACCGTGTTTATTAAAGTATACATTTAAGATGGTATATTCAATAGAAATACGCGGTGCACATACGTACGAGTATACTCGACAATTTGAACACTCGTAGAACTTTGTACGGACGTGGTGTATCAAACTTATAAACAGAGTAACAAAAGTTATAAGGATTTTCTTTGGAAAGAGAAAAAAATATATATTTAATTTCTATTTCTGTTTTTCTGAACAAATCGTGTAAGTTTTATTTTTAGAATTACGTGATTCCGAGATATCTGCCGGAGAAAAAGCAAAAAAAGTGCGAAAATTAAGAAAAATAACAGATTTTTAGAGTAATATACGAATACCATGAATATTGTTTTTATTTGTTTTTTGCTTTGAGTTATTCGCTCTCCTTTTAACGCTGGCATTTGTCTTAAAACGTTATTTTTTAATACTTATTTTAATACCTTCTTGCTGCTATTTCAAAACTCGTCAGAAAGATAAGAACTTTACGTCCTGGAGGGTTAACGCGGAAAATCTGTTCTCTCATCTCAGCTGTCATTCACTCCCATCTCGTAGCTCGCAACAATTACTCCTGATTATTATACTGGCCAACAACGGTATGGCAACGCAAGGAGCATCCGGCCGAAAAATTATGTCGTAAAGTTCTTGATAGTTTTCCTGTTTTTCAAATGACGGATGACGACTAAAAGGTACAACGGGATTTTTCAATTTTCTGCATTTCTTACTCTCGCCTTAACACCTCCACGGCTATATGATTTAATATTTTCATGTTAAAACTGACTGATTTATTATTGTTTATTTATTATAATTATTAATATCAACGCTGTTACTATTTTTGTAATTGATACCAAGTGTTGAGTATTCCGTATCTTAAAATTCTAATCACACGAAAGACGTAATTCTTTAGCGCGAAAATTCAAGTTGTAGTTATCAAAAAATAGTTTAGTACGAAAAAAGAACCTGTCATATTTATGAATATTAATTGCTTATATTTTTAATTAACAACTATGCTTCAATAAATTTGTTATTAACCTGGTTTCTGTTTCAAGCTATGACACTATCTTTCGATGATATTACAAATTTTATTCATTATTATCTTTACAACGTAACTATATAAAAATAAAACTAGAATCTAAATTGGATTAGTTGAATTTGTAGCTTTATAACTTTTTTAAGATACATGTGCGATTTTGTATTATTTTCTTATAATAGGATGACTGAAACTTGATTTATTTTTAATATAACTAAACAAAAAAACTTGATAAATTTGATAAATTATTCTAACACTTAGGACTGGGAAATAAGGTATATTCTTATAGATATTTTATTTTAAACAAGTCTTTAATAAATAAGTTTTTTTCAAACGAGTCAATATTAAACCTTATATATATATATATATATATATATTATACACTTATATTTTTATTTATTATAAAAATATAATATAATTTATTTTTATTTATATTTTTAATTTTGTGTATAAGGTCCTTGAACATTTAATGTAAATTTTAAGAATCATAAACAGTAAAAAAATGGAAATATTGTACTTAATTAGTTCTTAAATAGTTATATATTTAAATACAAATTAACAATACACGGAATATAATTTGAGATGAACTTAAAGCCAGACTCAGCTTAAGCCATTTAGGTTAACTAGCCGTTTGTAGATTACATCTACTTAAATTTCTCATACAATTATAGCAGACATAACAAAATCTCATTCTCAAAATGTAATGTAGTACTACAATTATATTCAAAAGTAAGTCAGTTGCATCTTCAATAGCTTGGAAATTAGATTAGCAGCGCACCGAAACCTTATTTTTCTTGGATAGTTGCTAAAATTTCCCCTGGGGGTACAAAAAAATCTCTGACGAGAATGTGAGGTTCATAATTTCATACATTTTTTTCAAATATATTGACGAGTTAGTAATATATTTTATCTTTGTTAAAATAGTTCTAGAAACTTTTTGAAATATTCAAATCAAATTCTGTTTTCTATAATAAGGTAAATATGTTTTGAAAAGTAAACAAATATGTGCACATAAAATAACAAAAATATTTCTATTAAAATTGGTCTTGCTATACTAATATAAATAAATTAGCAAATAAATATGACATTGTGCAATGAACTACAAAAATAAAATGACAAGAAAGGTAATAACAACTTATGTCTTTCTGAGAAAAAATGTAGATTCTGAAGAAACTTTAGTATTGGAAATGCAGCTCAAGATAACATAATAATATATTAATACATTTTTTTCTGTTATTCTAAAAATTATTAAAAAATAGTAAAATTATAATCAAATCTTTTCTTTTTATATATTTGGTTATAGTTATAATTTAGAAAAATACGAGTATATTTCTAAAGACATGTAATATTGTTAATGTTAATTTTTGAAAAATATATAATAATTATTGTTATACTGAAGTATGTATATGTTATTAGAAAAGAGAATCATATAGGAATGGTCATCATTCCCAAGTCATTATTGACAATTTCTGATGATGTTAGGCATTTTTGAATATTTCGTAGTTGTATCTAAATCTCCGAATTATTTTAGGTAACGTTGTAAATTGACACGACTGATCGAATAGATTACAAGTTATCTCAACAAGGTTTTATGCTATCGATTTATGAATATTTATTTTTTTGTCCATAGTAATTGATTATTGTATGTTAAACTATGTGTATTATATCGTATCATAACAGCCTATAATAAATAAAGTGGTTATCAAGAAAAGTGTTTAGTCAATATTTTCAAAAATGGATTTAAATGACATGTGGTTAAAATTTGACAACACAATTTCATTATTAGTCAAAAAAAATGTAATAATAATAATTTTTTTTCATTCATAAATAATATTGTGAAAGAATTAAAGAATTGAAGCAGTTCAAAATAATGCTATGTTATATATTGCAGAAAAAAGAAGTGTGCAAAAGATTATAGGAACTTACGTAAGTTTGAGGTTATTAAGTTATTGATATTGTTGTGCCAGTACAATTACTTTTACTATTAATTTATTAATAAATTGTACTATGTGTTGTGTGTGAAATTTTGACTACTCAAATTTGTCTGTTCGGAATTTTGAATGGTGACCAACAGAGCTCACACAAACTGTAAACTTTAGAGTAGGCAGTCAAATTTGTGTAAAATATTTTAATCTTAATAAACGTCAGTTTCCGTAATATTTGTTCATTTAATCGTGTTAAACGAATGCGGCCAGGTTATTCATTCAAAATTTTTATTTTCATCATACATTTAAATGAGGTAACACACATTTGACATGAATATTACAATAATTAAATAAAAATACGATTATTTTATAGAGTTTTTTTTGGTTGATGCCCCATAGCACGACTGCCTACTTAAACATGTAAAGTCTGATCAGGCCCAGTCAGTTACTATTCAAAATGCCGAAGAAATCTAGTTGAGTATCCGATGGTTCCCACACAACACAATGCAATCCACTAATAAAATAATAGTAAAAATAACTGTACTAGCACAACATGATATAATGGTAAATATTGTTTAGTTAAAACTATGGTCAATGCTACGGAGAGTGTGCGTTATGTGAAAAATAAAGATCTTCTCCATATTATTCATTCTACTCTTACAGCAATTGGATATGGAGGCCGCAACCATATAATGGTAGAACTTAAATTAAAATATGTCTATATTACAAAGGAAACAATAATAGATTACCCTGTTTTAATAAATTATAATAAATAAATAATAATTAATTATTAATTTATTTAATAATCTAATATTATTGCAATATTTAGCATAATTTCCTACTTTTTTCAGGAACTAACCTCAATTACTGGTCATTTATGAAAATTGCTTGCTTATTCAGGTATTATCATAGTTGATTAACCATTTTCGACATTAACTGATTATCGTCCTTTTCGATAACATATATAACATTTAAATTTCCGATTGTAATTATATGAGTATGAAACTAGCTGAATTGGTTTCACGCGTAAAAAAAAATGCTGATCTTTATATCAAGTTAGGAGGTTACTATAGCAAATAAAAAAAATTATAATGGCCTTTCTTAAATCCTATTGTCGTATATACATGCTATTTTTTATTTTTATTTTGTTAATCACTTCTTATTAAATATTTTTCATTGATTTAAAATCTGAGAAGAAAAGTCATTAATTGTATGTACAGATTGTATATTTTATACGAGTAGAATTTATCTCAGAAATAATTTTTAATTCGTTTGCTTAAATGTTATAATAAGACGTCAAAATATATACCAAACAGTTTATCAAAGTATTGTCAATCTTCATGAAATTCGAGAAATAACTTGCCGAAACATCTTATGTAAATGAGAGCATGATTTATATGAGCAACAAACTTCAGAAGTAAATCTCTTCCTGGATACCGTTATCAATATTACTTT